GCTTTCTGTTTAATGGAAGCAAAGGTCACTTACTTTAAAGCCTCCTTTTTTTTCCAATATAAATATTTAATGCAAAAAATATTTAATGCTATAATTTTCTCTGAGAACACTGCTTTAATGGCATTCCCAAATTTTTAATAGTTGTGGTTTTATCTTTATTCAGTTCAAAATATTTTTTTCTGATCTTCCTTGGCCCAGGTATTTGAAAGTGTTGTTTTTATTAGCTTCCAGGTATTTGTAGGGGAGTTTTCAAATACTTTTCTGTTATCTAATTTAATTCTTTTTCCCCATGATTTCATTTGTTCTTAGATTTATAAGCATTTGCTTTATGGGTCAGAGTATAATATAATCTGGTAAATGTACAATGCTGCCTTGGTGAAAATGTGTTGTTACTGGATTTAAGTCAGGTTGATTAGTACTGTCAACTTTTTCTGTTTTGTTTTGTTTTGTTTATTTGTTCTTGTTGTGGATTGTTGTTGTTTTTCAAACAGGGTTTTTCTTTTTAGTCCTGACTGTCCGTCCAGGAACTCGATTTGTAAACCAGGCTGGCTTGGAACTCACAGAGATCTGCATGCTTCTGCCTTCCAAGTGCTGAGATTAAAGGTGTGCGCCACCACTACCTGGCCTGTTTTTTGTTGTTGAATATGGAATGCTTCCTGAACTTTTGTGTCACCCTTTCACAGGGCCATGCTAATCTTCTCCATATTGTTCCAATTTTTTTTTTCAGAGCTGAGGACCGAACCCAGGGCCTTGCACTTGCTAGGCAAGCACTCTACCACTGAGCTAAACCCCCAACCCCTGGTTCCAATTTTAATAGACGTGCTGCCAAAGCGAGCACAACTGTATGGGTTCAATTATTTTGTCAATTATTGGTAGCCGAGCTTAAGTCACTAATGGTACTTATTTGTATATTTCTAATTTAAATTTTGTTGTTCTGCTAGGTATGGGGGCACATGCCTTTAATCTCAGCATTTGAGAGGCAGAGGCAGGCCTATCTGTGAATTCAAGGCCAGCCTGGTCTTTATAGAGAGTTTCAGGCCAGCCAAGGATACCAGGTGAGATCCTGCCTAAAATAATGATAACAACAGTAATAAAACCTGGCGAAACCGCTCAACAGTTAAGAAGAGCACTGGCTGCTCTTACCGTGGTCCCGGGTTTGTTTCCTAGCACCTCATGGCAGATCACAATCATCTGTCATTCTAGTTCCATGGGATCTAAAACCCTCTTTTGATCTCCGTGGGCACCAGGTACATATGAAAGATAAATAAATAAATCTAAAAACTAAAGCATAAGCTGAAACTTTGGACCTAAGAATTGAATGACACATAGATAGAAATCTGATTGTTTGTCTCTTTGGGCTTGGAGTTCCCATGAAATAATAGGGTGGAGATATAGAATAGGTAGTTGAACAGATACATCTGGTGTTCAAAGAAAGATGAAGACAAAGATATAAAACTGAGATATCAGCACACGTGTAAAGCTGCATACATAATTCCTAAGGAAAAGTCCATACCGGCAGAACATCTGGGCTAGATAATTGGCACTTGCCATCCCACTGCAGATTACTGAAGAGATTTAAAAATCATGAAACATCTTGTAATTTTGTAGGAATTAGAAGCAAGACATGAGTTAGAACTGGGGCCCAGAGTGAGCCATTTGGAAGCAGGTTTTTCCTGTATTCTGCACAGACCCTGTAGAGATAAATGAGTCACTAAATTGCTTATAGAAGCCTTCCTGGGCTGCAGGAATGAAGGCTAGAATACAAGTAGCACTCCAAGGATGGTGATCCACACCAGGTTTTGTATAAAGGTATAGAGAGCTGTATTCTGAGAGGGAGGGTGTGGACCACAGTCCTCCAGGCCAGGCGATGATGGGAACCACACACCTCTGTCCTGCACTGTTGACTACCTTGAGCACTTGGCAGATACGACCAGAATCCTTTGAGGAGGAAGTTAGCATCTGGTGGTGTCTGTAAAAATCACTTCAAGCTCAACAGCCTGGACTCAGGAAAAGAGACACACAGAGAGGAGAAGTCACGAGTCCGAACCATCAGGAAAAAGAAGTGACAGGAGACTCCAGAACCTGGAATTCCCAGACACAGACTTGGAAAAACAAGATGATTACTGTGTTTAGGGAACAAAAAAGGCTGAAAACTTTAGCAAGAAGAAATGGAATATGTTTTTAAAACAACAATACAGCATATTTGCCACACAAAAAATTCTAGAACTCAAGAATTCAAGCTTTTTTTTTTTTTTTTTTTTTTTTCGAGACAGGGTTTCTCTGTGTAGCTTTGCGCCTTTCCTGAAACTCACTTGGTAGCCCAGGCTGGCCTCGAACTCACAGAGATCTGCCTGGCTCTGCCTCCGGAGTGCTGGGATTAAAGGCATGCGCCGCTGCTGCTGCTGCTGCTGCTGCTGCTGCTGCTGCTGCTGCTGCTGCCGCCGCCGCCGCCACCGCCACCACCACCCGGCCTAGATTATTAATTATGAAATCATATTGATTATGAAAATAGGATTATGCAAAGCAGTATACTCTTGAGAGCTAAAAGTTTTTTTAAAAAAAGATTTATTTATTTATTATGCATACAATGTTCTCTCTGCATGTATGTCTGCAGGCCAGAAGAGGGCACCAGATCTCATTACAGGTGGTTGTGAGCCACCATGTGGTTGCTGGGAATTGAACTCAAGACCTCTGGAAGAGAAGTCAGTGTTCTTAACCTCTGAGCCATTTCTCCAGCCCAAGAGCTAAAAGTTATAGAATTATAGCAGATGATAAAACTGAGAATGTTGGGTGTATATATGTAGTAAATGCTGGTAAGTCACTTATAGATTTTTGTCCAGGAATCTAAAGATAACAATATCAGGGTTATTATTTTTATTTTTTAGATTTATTTTATTTTACATGTAGGAGTGTTTATACCTGTGTGTGTTTATGTATGTACACCACATGCATGCAGTGTCCAAGGATGCCAGAAAAGGGCCTCAGATGTGGGTGTTGGGAATTGAACCTGGGTCTGAACTGCTGAAACCTTCTTCCCAACCCCACATTATCAGGTTTTAACGCCCCCCCCCCACTACCACCACCACCGAGACAGGATTTCTCCCTGTAGTCCTGGCTGTCCTAGAATTTGGAACTTGCTCTGTAGATCAGGCTGGTCTTCAACTCAGAGATCCACCTGCCTCTGCCTCCTGAGTGTTGGGAAAAAAGGCGAGCACCACCAACCACCCAGCAGCTTTTGGTTTTTTTTTAAAAAATTTATTTATTTATTTATTATGTATATAATGTTCCGCCTGTATGCATGTCTACAGGCCAGAAGAGGGCACCATATCTCATTACAGATGGTTGTGAGCCACCACGTGGTTGCTGGGAATTGAACTCAGGACCTCTGGAAGAGCAGTCAGTGCTCTTAACCTCTGAGCCATCTCTCCAGCACAGGTTTTGATTTTTTAAAAAAGAATTATGATCATTTCTAAGGTACTCACTAAAAACCCGAAAACAACCCCCCCCCCCAAAAAAAAATCAGTGTGACCATGATAGACACTATCACCTCCCCACTTATGACTATTATCAAACAGATGAGCCGTGAACTCAGCTGGTTGGGAGGCTGACACAGGACCATGTGAGCCCACATGCTCAAGGCCAGATTGGAAAACAGAGAGCCTGTGTCTAAAAACAAACCAAAACAGTAACAAGTGTTGGTGTGGAAGATACTGTAGCACTCTTTTTTTTTTGTTTTTGTTTTTTTTTTTTTGTTTTTTTCGAGACAGGGTTTCTCTGTGTAGCTTTGTGCCTTTTCCTGGAACTCACTTGGTAGCCCAGGCTGTCCTCGAACTCACAGAGATCCGCCTGCCTCTGCCTCCTGAGTGCTGGGATTAAAGGCGTGGGCCACCACCGCCCAGCAACTGTAGCACTCTTAATATTGTTGCTTGGGAATGTAAAATTGTGTGGCTGCCATGAAACACAGTTTGACAATTCTTCACAAAGCTAATCACAGAGTGACCATTTGACCCAGCAAATGCCCCTCCTAGGTATATACACTGAAGGACCTGGAGCAAGGATCCAAACAGACCTGTCCATAAATGCTTACAGCAGCATTATTTGTAGTGGACAAAAGATCTCTTAGCAGGTAACTGAGTATGTTAAAATTTTGAACTCTTCTGTATTTCGGGACTTTAAGTATTTTTCTCATCATTTCTTCCTTCCCTTTCTTTCTTTAAGAAACCCCTATTAGAGATATTTCGTCTCTAGGCTGCACCTTTTCTTTCCTGTTAATTTTCTTTCTTTCTTTTTCTTAACATCTTGAGTTTCTTGTTTTTATCTTTCAGTCCTTGTACTGAATTTTAATCTCTGAAATCATAATTTCAATTCTTAAATGCTTCACCTTGATTTTTTCCATGACTTTTTGTTCCTCTTCTAAGACTGCAGTGTTGGGCCAAGAGATGACTCAGCTGCTAAGAGCTCTGATTGCTCTTCTGGAGGATCCAGGTTCAATTCCCAGCACCAACACGATGGCTCACAACTGGCTGTAACTCCAGTTCCAGAGGATCCAACACCCCTTTTCTGGCCTCTGTGGACACTGCACACATGTGGTGCACAGACGTACACGCAGGCAAAATACTAATGCGCATACAATTTTTTAAAGCTTCAAAAAAATTTAAAGACTGCTGCATTTTAAATGTTTGAGTATATTAGAGAATTTAAAATATTTTCCTAATATTTGTTGACATACCTCCACCCTCTTAGTCATTCAAAAATATTTACCTGTTTCTCTTTCATGTTACAACCTTCTCATAAAACTGGCATTTCGCCGGGCAGTGGTGGCACATGCCTTTAGTCCCAACACTCAGGAGGCAGAGGCAGGCAGATCTCTGTGAGTTTGAGGCCAGCCTGGTCTACAGAGTGAGATCCAGGACAGGCACCAAAACTACACAGAGAAACCCTGTCTCAAAAAAAAAAAAAAAATCAAACGAAAAACAAAACAAAAAACAAAAACTGGCATTTCTTAGTGGTCAATAAATATTTACAAATGTTGTAGTTTAAAAACCACACCTGAAGTCTGCATAGATGGATGCCACCTGCTGCTAGGCAGGTGGGGCCCCTGACCATTAGAATGTGAAGTATTTGTCACAGCTTGTCATACCAGCTGCTCTGGTTCTCCACCCGTTTCTCTGCTCAACTCCCTGCCCCTTATTTAAAGGCCCAGGTGCCCTATTCTTCACGTGTGGTCAAGAGACAAGTGGAGAGGTCTGGCCTTGCCACGGAAAGACTCACAGTTGCTCTCTTCCGCTACCATTCCTGTCTTGTGCTTTGGGCTGTGGTCTTGCTCTTGGCCCGAGTCCCTGTCCTCTCAGATCCAGCAAGGCATATAGCTCCCAGCCCTCTCTGGCAGGAGTCTGTGCTGTGCTGTTGCCTCTCCACTGTGCCACAGGACTCACCAGTTCTCTGACTGCCCTTCCAGACATTGGAGAGGACCACATGGCTAATGGCCTGGTCCCATTTTCTTGTGTTAGGTTGGTACCTTTTTAATTCCTTCGTCAGGGTGACGTTGGGTATGATAAACACATGTGGACAGTCTTCTGTCTTTGACTGAAAGGAGAGATTAAGTTAAATCAAAGAGTATTTGCTGCATGAAGATGTACATTTTTAAAATGTTCACAGGGGAAACCATACCATGCATGTGAAGGAAGTCAGAGGACAACGTTTAGGAATTGGTTCTTGCCTTCCACCATATGGGTTCAGGGGCTTGAATTCAGGTCATCAGTTTGGGAATTGAACACCTGTGAGTCATCTCACAGGCCCTGAGGTGCACATTTTTGAGAAAAATCAATACCTCACATTCTTCAAAATGAACTGGTTGTTAGGATGCTTCCGGAACGCTGCTTCAGTAGATGGCACCATTTCCCAGTTCAACACTCTCCCACATTGGAGACCATGAGCTGTACTAACCTGTATAATTGAAATGAATAGGTTTCAGAGTTTGACATTATCAACATTAATCAATTGACTAAACCTTAACTAAGATCTCAAATCAATTAAAATCTCTAAATCGTTTCAAGTTTCTGAAGCATTAGCATAATGGTGACTTGTGCTCTGTGGGCTGGCTGTTCACTGACAGAACATACTCCCCAAGCCTGCATGAAGATCCTGGGGCACCTGTGTTGGATCTCCAGCCCCTCAAAACATATTACCAGCAGCACTCAGTGCTGGAGGCATTCAGATGCAAGCGGTTAAGTAGTTTTTGTTGTTGTTGTTGTTGTTGTTGTTGTTGTTGGGGGTTTTGAGACAGGGTTTCTCTATGTAATAGTCCTGGCTGTCCTGGAACTCACTCTGTAGACCAGACTGGCCTCAAACTCACAGAGATTTGCCTGCCTCTACCTCCCGAGTGCTGGGATTAAAGGCATGCACCACCTCTGCACTGCTGTTAAGTAGTTCTTAAACCCCTTTTGAGGGGTCTTGGGGAGCTGACTCAATAGTTCAGAGTGTATACTAGTCTTGCAGCGAATCTGAATGCAGTATCCAGCACCCATGTGGGGTGGTTCATAACCACCTGTTGTTATTCCAGCTCTGGGGACATTTGATGCCTCTGGCTTCCATGAGCACTGCACACACAGAAATCCTTTTTGAAAAAATCCCCTTTTAGTACATAGACATTACATTTCACTCTTCTTTCTCCTTTGTCCTATTGCCCCAAGTCAGTCAAGATGTACTTTATATAATTAAATCAATACTAATGCTGTAACTTTTAATGTTTTTGGAAAACTTTACCTTATCTATGAATAATAACAAGAAAATGCATAGAGGCATCTTTACTTCTTGTCCTGAATTTTAAAAAAATTAACCAGTATGTAAATCACCTGTGAAATTATAATCATCACAGGGAACATATAAACCTGACTAGTAAACATGAACTGTTAGAACTCCGAGGGCCTTATTTTTCAGTAATCAGAACCTTTCTTCTAGCAAGCAGAGGTGAACACTTCAGAAATTATGGATTTCCGAAACAGCATTGCAGAGCATGGAAAAGCACATAAAGCAGCCTAAAGTCAAAGGTCAGAGGAAAGCCCGGGTTGCCTTTGACTGACTGTAGGTAAGGCACAGGGGTGGACAGACTAAACCACCTCTGAAAATGTTCAGTCAGCTAAGGCTCTTCAGTCAATTCTAGGCAGTTACCAGTCATGGGGTGCTGGCTATCTCTTTTATCTTTCCACAGCTTTCCTTAAAAATACTTTCCTGGAACCAGCTGGCCTCATTTGTGCATAGAACTTGTCTTAAAAACCAGAAATGTCTGAGGCGGCATGGACTTTCAAGTGCTTGTCTTCAAAGTTCCAGCCAGGCTTTTTGTCTGAAGCATGGGTGGGATGGGTGGGTGAGACAGGGTCTCTCTGTGCAGTCCAGGCTGGCCTTGATCAGGATCTTCTTGCTCCTATATCTTGACTGCTGGGGTCACAAATGTGTGTCACCATGTGCAACTAAAATTCCCGGTATTCTGTATCACTTCATTAGATCAGTTTGTGACGTTAGTTTTTCAGATGCCAAGCCACACAGTATTAGTTACTAATGATTCAAAATATCTTGAAGGCCATACATAGTCAATGCAACTAGAGAAACCTAAACTATAGTAAGTATTCTTTTTAAAAAATATTTATTTATTTATTATGCATACAGTATTCTGCCTGCATCCCTGTAGGCTGGAAGAGGGCACCATTAAAGATAGTTGTGAGCCATCATGTGGTTGCTGGGAATTGAACTCAGGACCTCTGGAAGAACAGCCAGTGCTCTTAACCTCTGAGCCATCTCTTCAGCCCTATAGTAAATATTCTTGAAAATTCTGTTTTGAACCGACTGTGGTGACACATATCTTTAACCCCTGTACTTGGGAGGCAGAAGCAGGTGAATTCTCTGAGTGTTCGAGGCCAGCTTGGTCTACAGACTGAGTCCTGGGACAGTCAGAGCTAGTAGTAGACCCTGTCTCGAAAAACAAAACTTCTCTTTTGAAGTTATCATTACATCAAGTAGCTTCTTAATACAGTTTACTAGTAGAAAATCAAAGCTGTGTCTATTGACTACCTTTGCCTCTGTCCCTTCGTAGTTACAATAAAGACCATGTAGTTCTACATGACGTACATAGTCTCTGCAAAAGTAACCTAAAGAAAATCTCATTTCTATATAAACAAACTTTTAGGGCCCAGGTAGAGAGCTCAGTCAGTAAAGTGCTTGCCATGCAAATATGAGGTCCTGAGTTCAATCCCCCAGCATCCATGTAAAAAGCCTGTGGTGTGGTGGTTTTGCTGTGATCCCAGTAGAGGGAAGACAGAGACAAGGAGATCCCGAGATTCACTCACCAGCCAGCCTAGCCTAACTGGTGAAGCCCAGGATCAATGAGAGACCTGATTCATAAAAACAAGGATGGCTCCTCCAAGGTTGAGCTCTGGCCACCGTGAGCACCTACATACACATGCCCCCACACACATGCATATGTGTAGTGGGTAGCCATTCCAGGTTTGACCTAGAAGTTCCAACCCCCATTGGGGCTTCGGTAATTGTCATGCCTACAAGGCGGGGCCGAGAGAGGATGCTGAAGACCGGAGATCCGGATGCGCCTGCTCTCTTGGGTCCTGGACCCTGGATGCTGGAGGTAGACCGAGCAGAGTTCTCCAGAGAACACCGCTGGACTGCGCCATACCTTTCCCAGACCCTGTAAACTATCCCTTCACTTGTAAGTTACCCCACAAAATAAACCTCCCCTTTAACTACGTGGAGTGGCCTTAATAATTTCACCAATACATATGCATCCACATGCATATGTACACACAGAGGAACTGGACCACATTAGCTAAACTTGCAGTTATGGGGTCCATAATGTTCTCAGCTTCAATTTCCCATAAGGAATTTGTTGTGACTCATTGAGTGTTCTCAGAAGCCCTTTTGAGATCCTTCCCATCCTGTCCAAAGATGTCACGGGGAGAGTAGCTCTGCAAATACTCTTGACAATCTCCCAAGATCTTCCCAGAGCATTGCCTTGAGTCACTAAGTTTTGCGTCACCGTCTTCATTACAAATCTGACCATGTCTTTGGTTAACCTTGGTTGTAAAGTTTTTTCAGTTGTGAAGTATGTAGTGGACAGTGGATACCCCTGTCTGTCTGTCTGTCTATCTATCTATCTATCTATCTATCTATCTATCTATCTATCTATATCTGGTTTTTGATCATTTGTAGAAACTATTCTTTCCTTTATTTCAAGTGACTCAGTATTTCCATGTTTATTTTTGTTTTTACATTGAAATTTGGTAATTATTTGTATGTGTATGGGTGTTTTGCCACATGTATGTCTGTGTACCATGTGTGTACCTGCTGCCCACAGAGGCCAGAAGAGAGCATCAGATCCTATGGAACTGGAGTTACCGATGGTTGTGAGCTACCATGTTGGTGCTGGGATTTGAACCCAGGTCCACTGGAGAATAGCAAGTACTCTTAAACACTGAGCCATCTCTCTAGCTCCATGTGTTTTGTTTGTTTTTTCTTTCTTCCTTCCTTCCCTCCTTCCCTCCCTCCCTCCCTCCCTCCCTCCTTCCTTCCTTCCTCCCTTCCTTTCTTTTATTTAGTTTCTTGGGACAGGGTTTCTCTGTGTTAACAGTCCTAGCTGTCCTGGACCTCGCTCTGTAGCCCAGGCTGGCCTCAAACTCACAGAGATCTGCCTGTCTCTGCCTCCTGGATGTTGGGATTAAAAGCATGCACCACCATCACCCGTCTTAGCTCCATATTTTTATTAATAATTTTTTTTTGTTTTGTTTTTCAAGACAGGGTTTCTCTGTGTAGTTTGGGTGTGGGTCCTAGATCTCTCTCTATAGACCAGGCTGGCCTTGAACTCAGAGAGATCTGCCTGGCTCTGCCTCCCAAGTGCTGGGGTTAAAGGTGTGCGCCACCACTGCCCAGCTTTATTAATAATTTTTAATTATGATTTTTACAGTTATTCTGGGGAGACATTCACATGTGGAGGTGCTGTGGATATTGCTCTATATAAATAAAACACTGATGGCCAGTGACCAGGCAGGAAGTAGGTTGCCAGGCAGGAAGTAGGTGGGACAAGGAGAGAGGAGAATTCTGGGAAGCGGAAGGCTGAGGAGAGAGACACTGCAGCCACCGCCAGGACAAGCAGCATGTAAAGACTCTGGTAAGCCACCAGCCATGTGGCAAGGTATAGATTTATAAAAATGGGTTAATTTAAGATAAAAGAACAGTTAGCAAGAAGCCTGCCACGGCCATACAGTTTATAAGTGATATAAGCGTCTGAGTGATTATTTTATAAGTGGATTGTGGGACTGCGGGGCTTGGGGAACCTGGAGAGAAGCCCTCCAGCAACATGGAGGTCAGAGAACAACCCTCAGAGAGCAGTAGCCCCCCTCCATGTGGGCTCCAGGGATGAAACTCTCATTACCAGGCTCAGTGGCAAACCCTGGGCCCACACACACACTGCGCCATCTCACCCGCCCCAGTATTTCTATGTTTAGACAAAGCTCCTGAAACTCCTTCCTGAAATTAGACACAGAATTAGATACTTCTGGCCCATGAACTCAGGCTAATGTGTTAAGCTTTATTTTGCTGCAGTTTCAAGAATGCAGATTAAGGGGGCTGGAGAGATGGCTCGGTGGTTAAGAGCACTGGCTGCTCTTCCAGAGGATCCTGGTTCAATTTCTAGCACCCACATGGCAGCTCACAACTGCCTATAACTCTAGTTCCTGGGGATCTGAACTCGGCAGACACAGCACACACATGCTGCATAGACATACAAGCAGGCCAAACACCTATGCACACAAACAAACAAACAAACAAACAAGTAAGTAAGTAAAGCATAAAGCAATTGGATTTGGCCCAGAGTGTATAGGGATGGTCCTGACCCTTCCACAGGTGATAACTTCAATTAATTGTCAGAGATTCCAAATGATTTG